CTGGGTCTTAGCAAACTGTAAACCCTTCTTTATTGCCCCCTGTTTTTTCTCCTGTTTAGTCAACAGCGAATTAATTTTTGAGAAAAACGCTGCACGAGTTCTCATTCTAAACATGGCAGTGAGGAATGCGTATTGTAGTTTGACAAGTTCAACTGTCTTTACCTAGAAAAAATATATATCCCTGTATCCTTGACCTGAATACTGGATACAGCTGCTCTGAACGATGCTGTTATTGCCCAGACCAAGGTATGTAGTGAAGCTGCTGATCCACATGCTTTTAGCCAAAGCTGATGCTTTCTGCAAAACACATCTTAGGAGACCTACAGGAGGTTCCGGGAGAGACGCTGGTGTGATGTCCTCAAAAGAGGAGTCTGAACAGAGAAAAATATTGGCCACGGTGCGCTGGCATGTGCCCGTCCTCAGGAATACATCAGTTGGCCACACCATTACTTACGGGTCCATCCACCGATCCGTTTAAAGGCAGCCAGCAAGCTGTGATGCTTGAGTCAGCGTAAATGATAATTTGGATTTTAAAAAGCAATAATATTACCGTATGGTCTGTTCTTGTGGCAGTGGGTTCCAGGTAGTCTTGCTTCATTTTCTTCTTCAAGACGGGGCAGGAGGGCCGTGCCAGGGTGCAGCAAGTGTGCTCAGACGTGTGCACATTCACAGCAGGATTGTATTTAGCAAATAATTTCTTAAACTTGCTGATAGAAATAATAAAATTCTCTGCTTTGTCTGAACTACTGTTCCCAAACCATTGGCAAAGTGATTTGTTTTGTTAACTGTATAAGCATCATCCCTGCTGGTCCTTTGCAGGATTCGCTGGATCTATTGGAAATCCAGCACTTGGAAATATTTTAATCAAAGAGCAAATTGACTTGAAATGGCCCCAGATTGTTCATTTCATTTTCTCCTTTCTTCCCCTGCCAGTGAGAAAGTAAGCATTGCTGTTAACATCCAAGGCCTCGCTATTTGGCAACATTTGCCTTCTCTTGACAGCTTGAATACGAAGATCAAGTATTAAAAGTATGGCCTGGCTGGTGGAAGTAATTAAGAGACTTCTGTCAGCCAGGAGAGAGTTTACTAACCTCATTTACTGTAGTAAATGGAAGAGACTTTCAATCTCCTGTCAAAAAGAGACCATCAGTGCGTGCATGCCCTTTCGTACCCGTAATGAATTAGTTACTGGAACGCTTTCTTGCTGGAATTCAGGCTGGAGCGAGGCAGGTGCTGGTTCCTGTCACATCAGCCTGTGGTTGCCTGAGATGAGAAATGACAGTGGAGCGAGGACGGGGAAATGGCACTGCCTGCCAGGGCTCCTGCCCCTCCGCTGGTGGGGTCACTTTGCAAACCATCCTCCAGTGAGGCAGAGCAGGGCTGGATTTTGGCAGAGAGGGGAGAGCTTGAGCAGATCAGACTGCAATCCTAGAGGTAAAGCATCCAAGAGGAACTGGAAAGATGCTGGGAGCCAGTAGACGTGCAAGAATACTTATTCCCAGGGACTAGCTGGGAAATGGGAACCTGAAGGTGGGAGAGTGCCTGTGTCCCTGTTTTGCGAACGCCATCGCATCAGATACTGTAGAAATCGCATGTAGGAAACATTCAGCAGCGAGGTTTGCAGAGAACTTGTGAGGGAGAAGCGTTGCGCTGCTTCCTTTCCAAACGAGACGCAGGAAGGGTGTGTGGGAGTCCCGCAGTAACAGAGAGAAAAATTAAATGCCGCTTACTAAAGCAGGACAGCAGGATGTGACATTAGGGCTCTGTGAGCTTTTTGCGTAAATCTACCTCAGGAAAAGAAGATAAATTTTCATTTTCAAGCAAAATCCCGGTAATATTGGGATCGCTGCAATGGCAGAGCTGGTTCCTGGACAGCTGCAAGGTGAGGATTTCACCTCTGAGGTTTTAGCATCTGTGCCATCTGCCGCTGTGAAATAGCCCTTTGTCTCCGAACAGTGTCTCTGTTCTCCCGCTTCTTTCTTTGGGTGCCGAATGTGAAGCACGGTCTCGTTGTACAGTCGGTGGCATCTCCCCCGAGAGGGCAGCTCCTGCGACAGGGGTTGTGCACTCCCCGTCCGTGCCGAACGCCACACCTCCACGTCCTCGGTACAGGCTGCCAGCGTTCGTGGCAAAGTCAAGCCTTGCCTCTGGGATTGCAGAAAGCTTTTAGGGCAGGTGTAACTCAGGGAGTGCAACCAGCGCCGTTCAAAGCCCGGATTTAACAGCTTTAGGGGTTCATGTATCTCTTACGTGGCCTGGGATTTTTGAGGACCAAAATTCTCCAGCGTAAAGCGCTTCTGTCTTCCTCTCTTTGCTCCACAGAGCTCTGCTTTTTGTTTATAGCAGATGGACGTTTGTGTGCATTTATATACATCTGTGAAATCTGCATGTCCGGTGCCCCGAGCGTAGCGTGCCACTAGATGGCAATGCCAAAAACCCAGGGAATAAACGTGCTCCTTGCTTCCTTAACGTGTGAAGTTTTGGTCACTAAAGCCTGGTGTGACAACCCCGAGAGCTCTTGTTTGGCCTAACTAAGCAGGAGCAGTCTAGTGAGCAGCAGCAGGAGCCCCGGACTGGAACTCCCTCTTCTGAAGTTGAACAATTAGCCCGTAATTAACGGGAGCAGAATTGTCACGCTACAGTCATAATGTTTAGCATGAGGTATAGGGCAACCTTTTAAAAAGGCACCGCTCCTGAGCGAGGCATCGCAGGTATTGTTTGGGATGTGCGAGGATTTTTATTAGCTAAAGGAGTCGTTTTGGAGGTTGAAAAAGACAATTATCATCCGCTAATTGGCATTC